CCGCGTCTACTTATTACCTAGCAAAGACAGGTGTGTGGGGGTAAAGCAGTGCTGTAGGAGAGTGAGTGGGCTTCTATTCTAGCTTCTGAGGCATTCCAAAACAGAGGTCAGCTTGCTAATTCTTTCCTATGAAAAGTGCAATGCAGCAGAGACCAGAATGGCTATGCAGTGTTCTCACCTAGAGGGCGCCAAAGTGCAGACCAACAACGCCCTCACCCACCAAGGGAGCCGCCCAAGTCAGGAGCAGGTGGGGAGGTGACTTAGATTACCTATTTCACCATCTTTCTGGAGTTCAGGATGTCTAGAATCACCATTCCCCCTAGCATGGAGTTGCCGCTTGTGTGTGTGTGTGTACGAACACAATATATATGTGTATTATTTTGTATATATATGTGTATGATATTGTACACGTATGTTTTTTAAATTTTAATTTTTTTGAAATTTCTGCCTTAACCATCCCAGAGCTGGGTATTAGACAACAAGGAACTATCCCTAGAGCTTAGAGCCCACTAGGATGATTCAAACTAGCCCATCCTAAGCTGCTCACCTGCTTTCCCCAAGGAAACCTCAGGAAAGGCTTTGGTTGAATGCTTTCCTGAGCACCTGCCTCCTGCCTCCTGACCACTCTGGTGTTTTTTCCCATGTGGTCCTACGTGGCGTGGCGTGCCTCCTCTTTGTAGGACCTGTGAGTATAATACACTGTTTTCCTGAGCCTCCCCTGTGTCTCCTCCGTGGCTGCATGTGACTGATCATCTCATAAAGAGAATATAAAACAGCCATGTTCAGTATTATTCAGCAAATGAAATAAAGATCTTTTGAATGCTTATATACAAAATGCTGCAGATAATTGTAGAAAATCAAATACAGATGAAATCCTCTCTCAAGAAACTCAAAGTCTTTTAAGAAAATAAAACAAGCACACGAATGACAAGGTCGAAAGTGGTGAGTGCCAGAGACAAGCACAAAGTAAGGGCCGTAGAAGGAGTGCCTCTCACTCATGTCTCTTCTGAGCCATGAACTAATCTCTTGAGACATAACAGTGAGTTCGGAAGGAAGCACATTTCCTAGGTAGCATATAGGAAAACAGTGTCATCCCTAAAGAAGTCACTGTAATAGTGGATTTCAAATGATTTGTAATTTTTTTAAGGTTTTGTTCACTGATGGGCCCATTCACCTGTAACAGAACCTGGTACATAGTGGCCTTCAGAAAATAATACTTCGGATGAATTAAATTGTTCTGTAAAATGTTCAATAGAAAAGAAATGTGTCTATACACCATGAAATACTATGCAGCCCTAAAAATGGATAAGTTTGTGTCCTTTGTAGGGACATGGATGCAGCTGGAAACCATCATTCTCAGCAAACTATCGCAAGAACAGAAAACCAAACACCGTATGTTCTCACTCATAGGTGGGAACTGAACAATGAGATCACTTGGACTCGGGAAGGGGAACATCACACACCTGGGCCTATCATGGGGGGGGGGGAGGGATTGCATTGGGAGTTATACCTGATGTAAATGACGAGTTGATGGGTGCAGCATACCAACATGGCACAAGTATACATATGTAACAAACCTGCACATTATGCACATGTACCCTAGAACTTAAAGTATAATAATAATAAAAAAAAACTGTTGAAATCAATAAGTGAATTAAGCAAGGTGATAAAAGATCTATATAAAAATTCAATAATATCTCAATATATTGAGACAATTTAAAATTAAAATAAAAACTGTTACTGATACTAGTACCAAAAATGCAATACATATAGAACTATTACAAAAATCTGTATTAAGAAAGCAACAAAATATTGAAAATAATTTTTTAAAATAAAGATATATACCATGTTCAAAAAAAAAAAAGAAATGTGTCATCTTCAAGTGTAATAAGCACTTATAAAATCCAGTAGTTACTCCCTCCCACACACAAAGTTTAAGATATTTAACAGTGTTACTGAATTTGATATTTTACAAATGCCTTTATCCCTAGAAGAATGAATGATATGGATGCTTTGCAGCCTCTAACTTGATGAAGACCACCACGATGGATCTGTAACCATGTATAAGAATGTTCCATGTCAAAAGATAAATCAGAACAAAACAAAAAACAGAAAGTAACAAGTGCCATCAGGGATGTGGAAAAACTTTTGTGCACTGCTATTGGGAATATAAAACGGTGCAGCCACCACAGAAAAGAATATGGTGGCTCCACAAAAATTAAACAGAATTACTGTATAATCCAGGATCCCATTTTTTTTGCATATATAGCTCAAAGAACTGCAAGCAAAGATTGAACAAATACTTGTACACCTATCTTCACAGCAGTATTATTCACAACAGCCAAAAGGTAGAATCAACCCAAGTTTGCACCAACAGATGAAAAGAAAAACAGTATGTGGTCTGTTCATACAATGGAATATTATTTAGCCTTAGAAAGGAAAGGAATTCCAAGACATGCTATTAATACAACATGGATGAACCTTGAAGACATTATGGTAAGTGGAATAAGCCAGTCACAAAAGGACAAATACCGCATGATTCTACCTATATGAGGTACCTAGAGTAGTCAAATTCCTAGAAGCAAAGTAGAACGGTGGGTGCCAGGGGCTTACAGGAAAACAGAATGGGCCATTATTGTATAATGGGTACAGAGTTCCAATTTTGGAAGATAAAAAAAAGGTTCTGGAGGTGGATGGTAGGGATAGTTGCACAACAATGCAAATGTACTTAATGCCATTTGGCTGTACACTTAAAAATGGTTAAAATGATACAATTTATGTTACGTATATTTTACTATATTTTTTAAAAACCAATTTTTTTTAAGTTCCAGGTACACAAGACGACTGACATTCTCATGTGTATTAACAATGGAAGTAAAATAATCAGTGGTTTGGTATCTGTTCCCCTCCTCCTGTGCAGTAAAATGGAAAATAAAAGCAAAATTAATGTTCATACTTAGAATTACAAGTAAATCTAAATTTTTAAGATTAAAAACAAGGGTAGACAAAAGTAGCAAATCTTGGGGAGCTCTGAGACAGAAATCTCTAAATCTTATATTAAATGAAAAACTTCAATTTTAACAAAAGCAAAAGGAAACCCGAGTTGATGCAGAGATGTTAACAGCTCATGTTCAGCTTACAAAAACTGCTGAGTTGGAACTCACTGCTCTAATCAGCACCTACTAGGAGCCAGAAACAACTTGGGGTTACACTGGTTTCAAAAGTACATATGTATGTTTATTAGCTTCGCAGGGGGGAACACATCTGTGAATACTTGTATTTAATACTTCCTAACCTTCTGTATAATGTCCACTTTAAGAAACTGAGACTAGCTCTGATTTTGCCCTCTTTGACTTTCAGGGTCAACAAGCTTTATTAAGGGCAATTTAGTGTCACAGGAAGAGAAAATTTACAACCCTGATCAACGAGGAATACAGAGGACACAAAGGTAAATACATGTGATGGAGACCTACGCCAAAAATGCTGTATCAGTCAGAGTGCTGGAAGGAAACAGATGGTACATTCAAACCAGGCAAACGAGCTGAGGTTAATGGAGAGCTATTTACACAGGTGTGGGTGGGGCTATGGGAACCAACAAGAGACACTGAAGCACCCATGGGCAGCGCCCCCTGGAGAGCCATTACTTTCCCTAGGACTGATGGGACTGTAAGGAGAGAGGTCACCAAACCCCACGGAGAGCTAGAGGAGACAACTGTGAGGCAGTGAGCTTCACACAGGAATGTAGCCCCTGCCGACCCATGGCCTGAGAGGAGCATTGGTACCCCAACCATTCTGTCCTCCTGCCCCAACTTCCTCTGTGCCTCCATGAGCCAATGGGAAGCCAGAGGGTAACAGAGCCCAGGTGAGGCTGTTTATAGAGGTCAACATTCTGGGGTTCAGAATATGGTGGGGAGGGAGGCAGGGAATCTGAAAGGTCAGACACAGAACGTCAAAAACATCCTTATCTGTGGTTTTCATCTAGTGCTCTTAAACGAGACTCACTAACCTACTGTGTTTTAAAATACAGCTTGCCAAAGTCTATGTTAATATTACTTAACTTTGATGTGTATCCGTGATGGTTAATTTTGTGTGTCAACTTGACTGCACCATGGGATGCTCCTAACCGGTTGAATGTTATTTCTGGGTGTATCTGTGAAGGTGTTTCTGGAAGAGATCAGGATTTGAGTTGGTGGACTGATTAAAGCAGATGGCTCTCCTCAACGTGGCTGGGCCTCATCCAATCCATCCAGGGTCTGAATAGAAGAAAAAGGGAGAGGAAGGGAGGACTTTTTCTCTTTGTCTGACTGAGCTGGGATGTTGATCTTCTGCCCTCTGTGCTTCTGGTTCTCAGGTCTTTAGACCTGGGCTGGAATCTATGCCATCGGCCCTCTAGCTCTCAGGCCTTTCTTTGACCTTCATCAGCTTTCCTGGGTCTCCAGCTCGCAGAGAGCAGCTCATGGGGCTTCTCAGCCTCCACAATCGCATGAACCAGTACCTGATAATAAATTGGTTCTGGTTTTCCAGAGAACCCTGATTAATACACTATCTGTGCATTCACTTAGGAGAAACAAAGTCATTAAATGTGAAAAAAATAAAATTGAGTCACTCAGAAGAATCACAGTATAGCTGCCCATCACATATTACAAAGAACAAAGTATTCTCAATTATTTAAGAATAAGAATTCTACAAAGAAAATGACTGGTTATCTGCGCTTACACAAAATATTTCATGGAAATTTTATTACCGTGCTTTTTTTTTTTTTTTTAATTTAACCATCATTATGTTGTGCATTCATCTGGAGTTTTCAGTTGTTCAGAATTCCCTGTTGGCAGCCAAATTCCTGTCTGGGAAAATGTATGAGCCAGCCTTCATCTTCCACGATGACTTTCCAAGGAACCATTACAATTAAGAGAATGTGAGTTACTCATCTCCAATAACTGTACATGCAGCAATATTCTGAGGATTTGTTAACTGTCTCTGACACGAAATCATCTACTCACAGTAGGTGCTTCACAAAAGCCATCTTGAATGAATGAAGACCCTTTCTCACAGTAACAAAGTTGGGTCCAGGCTCTTTCATTTTTGCTCAGCAAGATGAAGCTAAGGAAACAGGAAGTAAGTCATCAACCAAATCATTATAACAAAACGTTCTATTCCATTCTCCATAATTCACCCTTCAGTCTAGGGGAACACTGACAATTGCCCCTCCAGATACAAAGAGACTGCCTCCTGTGAAGACACCTGCCTCACCCAAAGCCACATTTCCTTCCAGGTTGCCCGACCTCCGATGAGTCACTGATTCGCAAACCATAAAGGTCCGCCCTCTTGCCTCAACTCAGCATAGCTCTGACAGATCGTCCCATCTTCCCATCTCCCTTGAGGTCTGACTGGGGTTGCTGCTGACCCAGTGATATAGGAGTTAAGAAGAAAGTACTGAGGCAGATAGTGAGGGGTATGGGAGTCCTCAGTAAGGTTTTCCTTTTAATGAAAAGCCGCCCCCAAATCATTTTCTTTTCTAACAAAGAGCAGCCTGGAAAATCGAGCTGCAGACATAGACAGAAAGCCGAAAGCTTGCACAGGCGAATGCCGGCAGTTCTGCCAATAAAAATATATTACCTGGGGCCGGCGCGGTAGCTCACGCCTGTAATCCCAGCTACTCAAGAGGCTGAGGCAGGAGAATCGCTTGAATGCAGGAGGCGGAGGTTGTGGTGAGCCGAGATCACGCCATTGTACTCCAGCGTGGGCAACGAGAGCGAAACTCCGTCTCAAAACACAACAACAAAAAACACTACGTGGGATTAGGCATGTTCTAAATGCCTAGAACACGCCTAGAACGGCTCCAGCTTCTCTTTTTGCCAGCCCTGCGTACAGTACGGAGTGGACAAGATGGCGCCGGCCAAGTGGAAAGCCTAGTTGCTGAATAAGATTAGGGTGGGGTGACCAGCCTTCCCTGCGCGCTACGTAAACGTCGCCCCTGGTCCAACCAATCGCTGGGCCCTACATAAATCAGACACCGCCTCCTCAAGCCGGCCCATAAAACCTGCTGCAGTCAGTCACGCGCCAGCCTTTCCCTCAAGGATGTCTGATAGCTGGTGTCCTCTCTCTTTTCTTCTGCTTGTTAAACTTTCCGCTCCTTAACTCAACCATATGTGTCCATGTCGGTAGTCATCTTGACGAGAGATGATGAACCCCGGATATTTACCACAGACAGCGATGCCGCTTCACCAGCATTGCACTCTACTTACCCGCTTCCTGATCCTGCCTCAGCTTCTCCTCTCCACAGGTGTTGATCCCAAGAACAACCCGTAAGAAATGTCCTGCACGCTAATCTCCATCTCACAGTCAGCTTCCCAGGGAATGCAGCAGTTACGAAGCATTCAGCTTAATTTTGTTGATTCCTTTATGATTTTGTGTGTTTTTTTTAATATTGAAATGTAACATATATTCAAAAGTGTGGATAAAGTCTCCATGATGATTAGTTTCCTGTGCCATCATGGGGGCCAGGCGTTAGTGCCTTTTTGTATGTGTGTCTGTGTGGTAAGACGGAATTTTGCTCTTGTCAACCAGACTGGAATGCAATGGCGCGATCTCGGTTCACTGCAACCTCCTGGGTTCAAGTGATTCTCCTGCCTCAGCCTGCCAAGTAGCTGGGATTACAGGTGCCCGTCACCACGCCAGGCTAATTTTTGTATTTTTAGTACAGATGGGGTTTCACCATGTTGACCAGACTAGTCTTGAACTCCTGACCTCAGGTGATCTCCCTGCCTCAGCCTCCCAAAGTGCTGGGATTACAGGCGTGAGCCACTGCACCCGGCCGTTAGTGCCCATTTATTTAATCAAACACTCATCTAAGTAGTGCTGCAAAGGTATTTCGTAGATGTAGTTAACATATACAATCAGTTGACTTCACATAAAGATTACTTTTCATACTGTGAGTGGGCCTCATACAATCAGTTGAAAGCCTTAAGAGCAAAATCTGAATTTTCCTAGAGAAGAAAAAATTCTGCCTAAAGACTGCAACATCATTTCCTGCCTGAGTTTCAGCCTGCCAGCTTCTCCTACGGATTCTGGACTTGCCAGCCCCACAACCACGTAAGCCAATATGCTAAAATAAATTTCTTAATATAATTCTTAATGTATATATCCTTTTGATTCTGTTTTTCTGGAGAAATCTGACTTATACAGTCTCTTAACATGATTGCATATCTGTCAAGTTTTATATATTTTGTGGCTATGTTATTAGGTATAAACAAATTTACGATTATTTCATATTAAACCTGAAACTATTATTATTCTGAAATGAACCACTCTTTGCTTTGATTTTGTAGCTGTTGCTTTGCATAGCAGTTTTACCATCCCTTACTTTCAACCTGTCGATATCTTTCTATTTAAAGTAAGCAGGTTGTTTAGCTTTGTTTGGTATTATTACCCTCTCTGATGAGCTTTATATTTCAATTTGAATATTTAGTCTGTTTATATTTACTGTAATTCAAGGTGAAATCTACCATCTTACTATTGATTCCTATTTTCTCTGTCTGTTCTATGATTTTTTTTTGTCCTTCCTTAAAGTTTTTGGGTTTATTTAATATTTTCTAATTACATTTTTTCTTCTATTAGCTTGTTATTTATATGATTTTAAAAATTGGTGTTTTCTCTAATAGGTGCAACATGCATTCTTGACTTATTAAAGTGCTGTTGGTGTGTGTTTTAAAGGCACTGCTGTAATTATGTATACAAGTAATGTTTATCTAGATTTACCACATAGACATTCTTACAATTGCTCTGTTACTTCCTGAATTTCCATGCTTTGCTTTACTATATGCTATTTACTATAATAAATGCATAACATTTATTGCCTATAGCTCTAAAGGCAAACAGGCAGTGCAGTTCCAATTTTATAGATGAGGAAACCAAAGCTCAGGGAAATATAGTGGGGAAGAGTATAGCTTGATAGCTAAAAGCATAAACTCTGGAATCCAATAGAATATTCCACCCACTGATCTTAACATTTTCAGAAAGCTATTTCCTGCTGTAAGCTTCTCTTTGTCTATAAAATATCAAATAATAATAATAACAACACTTACCTCATTCTGGTTGTGAGAGTGAATTAAGAAACGTTGAATGTTTCATGAGACGTCTGGCACATTTTAAGAACAATCCACATGTTCACATTGGTTATGATGATACCCAGCACTGCTGTAATAAGCGTGTCATCCATTGCTGCTGCCCTGCCCACTGTGCTCCTCTAAGAGAAATGCTACCTTCTAAAGCATGATGAAGGAGGGAGAATTAAGCAATCATTGAGAAAGTGGTGGCACCACTTTGACCAGGGATGAGATCTGACCCAAGGGCAGCCAGAATATCAGGCAGCCTGTGTCCTTCAAAGTGGCCTGGCTTCTCCAACAAATCTCTGCTCAAAAGAGATTGTGGTGACTATCTAAGACCATCAACTCTATCCCATTAGGATCTGAACAGGGAAAGACTGGAAGAATGGGCTGGTTGGTAGCTATGGGAGAAATATCAGAACATATAAAGAGAAGGGGAACAGTTCCCTGAGAGCAGTGGCCGGAGCACAGCTGGCACTGTATTCTTGCAACAAATCCTGACTACTGGGTAAGCCTGCAAGACTGAAAGGGCTTGCGCAGCATATCTGCCCAGAGTGGTATAGTTGTTAAGTGATGGAGATGATACTTACTCTCAATAGTTCAGACCATGAAGACATGGTTTATCTGCTGTGCCATTCAACCTTCCCCTCATTATCTAGGTTGTCTAGATAATTATCTAGACAATTATCTAGACTGAGATATGGGACAGAGATATGCATAATGTGCATTTATGTTGCCTAAACTTTGTAAATGGCATGAAATAAAAGCTAAATGGAGTATTAGGAAATCAGGTTTTTGTTGTTGTTGCTGTTTAGGACAAACATTTGAGTGGAAAGCATGACAGGATTAACGTGTCTAATTTTAATTTTTAGACGTAAGTCACTAATATCCTCATTGAAATATGGATTCATCTAGATTGAATTTAATTTTACTATTTTGCATATAATTACAGTGTCTTGGAAACTGTGGGGGGAAAGTGTGCCCAGTCAATCTCTGCTTTCTATAAATAAGAAACCAGTAGCATTTAATTCAGAGAAAGTAAATGTTGGCTCATAAAGGAGCAGAATATTCCTCCTCTGTAAAGTAAGGAATAATAGTGACTGTTACCATTCACTGGACCATCTCACTCCCATTCCCATCCGGAACTCAGGCCTCCCTGAATTCCAAAAGCAATGCCCTGGTGATAGAGAAACTTCTCTGGATTGGAGTTTTGGGAAATGTTATAAATGACTTAATGTATCAATGCTCAATGGAAGTAGAACTATGGTATCTTAAGTCTCATTCCAAGAAGAAATCATTCTAGAGGTTGTTGACACAATCACCCAGTGTGTAGTGTAATTCCATTTCTAATCCTGTTCCAATACAAGCCTGGAAACTTAGACCCCCATGGTTAGAAACAATGGCTGTTACTGGCAAAAATTGAAAAGCTGACTTTTGAAATATAAAAGGTTTTCTTTCATGTTGTCATATCAATTTTCTGTTCTATTTTGTATTGCCTTTATACTTGTAAAACCCTTTTTTCACTCTGAGATACACAAATATTCTGCTGCATATTCTTCTAAGATTTTTATGGTGGCTTATTTTTGACATTTAAATCTTTAATCAACCTGGTATTTCTTTTGGGGTAATGTGTCAGAATATGTGTCTAGGTTTACTTCATTATATTAATGTATGTATTCTTTTCCCAGAGTTTCTATTTCATTTCATTGTTCCAATAATCTATTCTTGTGCCAAAACCACATGTTTTGTCTATATTAGTGTTATGTTTCTATATATAACAGGGCAAATCTCACTGGTTAATCTCTGTTTTGCATTTAAAAAGTTTTTTCTGAGCTCTACTTGTGAATTCATTCTTCTAGATGAATCTTAGTTTTACTTGAACACATTTAATAATAAATCTCAGTGGAAGTTTAAGTGCAATTGTGTTAACCCTATAAATGAATTTGTAAAATATCGACATTTTTCCAATGTCATTATTGCTCCTACTACCATTACTGCAGTCTAGCTACCTGTAGCCTCCCAAGTAGATAACTGCAAGCACATGCCACAATGCCTGCCTAATTTTTTTTTATTTTTTGTAAAAATGTGATCTTGCAATGATGCCCAGGCTAGTCTCCAACTCCTGGCCTCAAACGATCCTCCTGCCTCAGCCTCCCAAAGTTCTGAGATTACCAGCATGAGGCACTGTGCCCAGCTTTCTTAATGTAGTTATAAGTTTTTTTGTTTTTATTTTTTGCTAGCCTTTATATGTTTGCAAAATTCTACATAAAGCTTTTTAGGCACTTAATAGTTTGTGTTGCCATTATAAGTGGAAAATTATCTTCATTAAATATTATGAATAGTTTTATCCTGGTTTTTAGAACAACCATTAAATTTTATACATTCTTTTTGTGTTTAGCCACTTAATTTTTAAATGGGGGAGTGATATTCTTGGTAGAGAACCATCATGTTTTGTAAATGTGAACCCAAAAAAGGTAAATTTGTTCTCTTTCCTAATGTTGCATATCTTAATATGTTGACTAAAATTTCTAGAATGTTGAATGATAATGATGGTAGCAATCCTCTGGTTATTTGGTTCTTGGTTTTAGTGAGAACATGTAAATGCTTCATTGCTGGGTATGGCTTTGGCTATTAATTTAATATAGAGATTCTGTCTCATATTGAGAAATAATACTTATGTTCCTGGTTATGCTGCCTGCTTCTCCTCACCTCTGATAATAATGACTAAACTAATAGTAGTAGTAGTAATGATGGTAGTAGTAATGGTAGTAATAGTAGCAATTATAGTAGTAGTAATGGTGGTGGTGGTAGTAGTAATGGTAGGAGTAAGAGTACATAGTGGTAGTAGTAATGAT